GGTGTGGGAAGAGACTGGACAAAAATCGTCCACCTATGGATGAGGACAGTGGAGGGGTAAGGGCAGAGGGTGTGGTGGGAACTGGGTGGAGGGGAGCTATGGGGGGGGGAAAGAGGAACAACTGTAATAATCTGAACAATAAAGGTTTAATTTAAAAAAAAGAAAAAAGATTATTATTGATTTCAGAGATGAAGGGAAAGAAAGAAAGATATAGAAACACCAACGATAGAGAATCATTGATCGGCTGCCTCCAGCACGCTCCCTACTGGGGATCGAGCCCAAAACCCCAGCGTGTGCCCTTGCCTGGAAACGAACCTGAGACCCTTCAGTCTGCAGGCTGATGCTCTATCCATTGAGTCAAACCAGCTAGGGCCAAAGCAACTGTAACACTCAACTACAGCTGCCCATTAAAAAAGGGAAACCAGCCGTAACTGGTTTGGCTCAGTGGATAGAGCGTCGGCCTGTGGACTGAAGGGTCCCGGGTTCGATTCCGGTCAAGGGCATGTACCTTGGTTGCGGGCACATCCCCAGTAGGAGGTGTGCAAGAGGCAGCTGATCGATGTTTCTCTCTCATTGATGTTTCTAACTCTATCTCTCTCCCTTCCTCTCTGTAAAAAATCAATAAAATATATTTAAAAAAAAAAAAAAGGGAAACCAGTTGCCCAGTGAAAACATTCTCAACTCTGGCCTCTCCTTCAGTAAAACTTCTTGTCAGGACCAAGTGTGGGGCCCCACCAATTTGTCTGTGGCTTGAGGATCCAGCTCTCACTTGTGGGAGCTCTGAGATGCAGGAGGTTCCGTTCCTGGGAAGTTCCTGGGGCCCCACAGCTTTGGGCATTAAGGTCCCAGCAAACCATGGTGACCAGGGCAGTCATGGGATGGGGCTTCTATCAGTTGGTCAGTGTGGGCTGGTGGTGGGAGGGGTGGGAGGTGCCCATTCCTGTCTCCCAGGGGCTTAAGCTCCTCCCACTGCCCCACATTAGGTGACCAGGGCTTCTTTGGGTGATACTGCTGGGTAGTGGGTCTCTGATCCAACTACCAATAAAGAGTCTTCTGGAACCATAGACTCTTTTACCATCTACCATCCCTGAGAATTCCCAGGCCCCAGACTAACCCCAATCCACCAAAGTCCCTCTCAGGAGTCTTATCCTTTTCTTGGTACTCCGCCTTCTAAATCTATCCCTCTGTTTATGGTGACCTTCTCCTCCCCTTTGCTGCTACCAGAGGACTCAGGCCACCTTTCCTCCCATCACAGTGGTCAGGAGCCTGACTAGCAGGTCTCTCTCTGAATGTATGGAGAACCCCGATGTGAGCATCACAGAGGCCCAGGCCTCTCCCTGTGGTGGGGGGAGGAGGAAACATTTTCTACTCCTTCCTAGTGAGTCATCTCCCCAACCTCCGCCACCCACCACAGAAATTAAATGGGGTGGGGGGAGTGCTTCTTTAGAGAGTGAGAGAGAGAGAGAGAGAGAGAGAACAGAATGTCAGCTTACAACAAAGACTCAAAATTATAATAAGATTCAGCAAGTTTGCCAGATACAAGATCAGCCTGCACAAATCAATAGCATCTCTCCCACCCACAACAGCTACTAGAAAATATTATTAAAAAGAAATCATTCACAGTAACAATAAGGATCACAAAATATCTGGGCATTAACCCTAAAACTTCTATACAAATTTAAAAATCCAAGATGATCTGAATAAGCAGAGCACTTCCCATGCTTTTGTACTGAATGACCTAATATAGAATGCCTCATCTTGGATGGCTTTATTAAGACCTACTTGAATTAATGATTAACCTACAGAGGCAGTGCAATTCCATTCAAAATTCCAAATTGGATTCTTTTTGAGGAACTCAATACATCACTTAGGTAATGTTATTTGTTTTTTTCTTTTTATCTGTTGTACACAGTTTATTTAACAATAAAGAAATTAGTTGGTACTTTACCTATAGTGATTGAATCTTCTTGTATTTTCATATCTATGGTAATTATAGCACTGGCATGATTGACACTAGAATTGCTTTTCCTCATTTCAAGTTTCACATAGAAGAAAGAATGCTCTTCTCTATTAACATTAGCATGGTCTAAGAGAGTGATCAGCCCTATTTTTTGTCTGTAACCAGTTTTATCAGAGAAACTAAGCAACATTTTCTACATCTGCCTGATAAGAGTTTGGCTTAAGCCAGTATGTATAGATGGATGTGTGGTGTGTGCATGTGCGTGTGTACGCAGGAGCCAATTCCATTCATCAAGGGGCAACAATTCAAGAACACCCAGAGTACATAATAGGAAAGAATCTCCCCACAATGTCAGAAAGTCATCAGGATACATTATAAGCTTGCATTATTTCAGGAATCAGTTTCTGAATATTATTTTCCTTCTTCTCTTTTAAACATAAATGTTTAAAATCTTAAAAATACAAATAAAAAATATGCATATAATGAACTTGTTTTCCCATTCTAAAGGCATGAGTCACCAGCAATGACGCCCCAGAAAAAAAATTTTTTTAAAAGCAAAAAGAGAGAGACCAGATATTTAAATCAACTGGTTTTTAACAAAAAATATGCTTTTTATTGTTTCTTTAAACAGCAATCTACCCTTCTGTGGCTTAAAGTAGCAGTTCCGTCTAGGAATAAAAAGAGCCTAGCTGCTTGGATTTCAGTATAAAAGGTCCAAGAACATGAAAGGGAAAAATAGTGATTTTCTCACAATGCTACAAAACCTACACAAACTTTTCTAGGGTGTCTACTGTGGTGTCACAGACCAGGGACAGCTCACTGGGCAATGCACTGCTGTGGGGGTATTCAGCTGTGGTAGCATTGCATATTTGGGGTTCCCCAAGTGTCCCTGATCCACTTGGAGTCCTGGGTGGGGAGAACCAGTCTGGGGGGAGAGGTGGTGTGGTGAAGGCTGGGGCGTATCCGTGGTGATGGGCTGGAATGTGGAGGCTGGGACTGGGGTCTGGAGACTGGACAGGGGCCAGAGATCTCACCTGGCTACTGAGGGATGTGGCCATCTGCTGGCCAGGGAGGTGAGGCCTGTGGCTGTACTGCTGGGGCTCATGGGGTTTGTTAGGTCCGAGCTGACAGGAGACAGGCCAAGAGACATTGTGAGAGTTTAGAAATTTTACTTATTTTTAAAAATATATTTTATTGATTTTTTACAGAAAGGAAGGGAGAGCGATAGAGAGTTAAAAACATCGATCAGCTGCCTCCTGCACACCTACTGGGGATGTGCCATAACCAAGGTATATGCCAGGGGTCCTCAAACTTTTTAAACAGGGGGCCAGTTCACTGTCCCTCAGACCGTTGGAGGGTCGGACTATAGTTTAAAAAAAAACTATGAACAAATTCTTATGCACACAGCGGCAGCAAGAACACCCGGCAGGCCGGATAAATGTTTTCGGCGGGCCGCATGGGGCCTGCGGACCGTAGTTTGAGGAACACTGGTATATGCTGCTGACCGGAATCAAACCTGGGACCCTTCAGTGTGCAGGCTGACACTCTATCCTCTGAGCCAAGCCGGTTAGGGCTAGAAATGGTATTATTAATATACACCAGCATATCCATTTCAGCAAGCAAGAGTAGGGAGTGCGGGATATTTATGTCTCGGTGTGGGCCGGAAGGAGGTGCAGGTGGTTGCAGGAAGCTGGGTCTAAAGCTGCTTTTCTCAGCCGCTTACTTGTCACCTGTGACACCTGAAATGAGAATAACAGGAAAACAGCAGAGAGGACAGGAGCCTCAAGCGGGGACAATAGAAAGAACTGAGCACAGGGGAGAAACTGAAGGCAGGGGAAGGTACAGAATATGCCTAACACGGTTTGGCTGGCCTGGGACCCAATCTGCTGCTGGATCTGCTGCTGCTGCATGGCTGCGGGTGGCATCAGCGTCCCTGAGGCTGCTGGAACTGGGCGTGTCCTGCCAGGCCTGCAGCCATGACAGCGCTGCCTTCCTGCTGCTCTGCTGCTGCTGCTGCTGTTGCTGTTGCTCCGTGGCATCTCTCGGTGCTGTGGTTCATTCTCGCCACGCTGGGGTTGCGCCCCGGGTTCATGATGTTCAAGGCCTGGCCCTGGGGGTTCAGGCCTCCCATTGTTGCTGCTGCGGAGGGACAGCAGGTCGGGGCCCACTGGCTTGCGTGGTGTTCAGGTTCTGCAGGCTGGGCTGCAGGCTGGGCAGGAGCTGAAGGCCGGGCTGGCTGGCCACTCACTTGGCCGTGTGCTATTTGATGAGATCTGCCATCAGCTGAGGGTTTGGCTTGAGGATGTTGAGCACGTGCCGCTGCTGGGGGGGCTGGGAGACTTCAGGGTCCGCAGCAGGTCCTGCAGGCCTGAGGCACGTTACGGGAGTTCATGGTGGCATCCGCTGGCGCATGAGCTACCCCTGCGGCAGGCGGTTCCCAATCCGCTGCTGGCGGAGCCGGAGCCGCTGCTCGGGTTGCTTCCGCTTGATGTTGAGGCAGAAGAGGACGGGGCATGCGTTTTCTTGGCAGTGTTCGGCATGGTAGGTGCAACGGAGGCTTAGGTCCAGGCACACTGGGCAGCCTCCATTGGTCTTGTGCTGGCAGCGCTTGGTGTGCCGCACAACAAGGTTCATCTTCCGGCAGAGGGTCCGCGAGCAGTTGGCGTCACGGCACTGGCAAGCGTGCTCCAGGGACTGGATGCGCCGCAGGAAGTGCCGGCGGATTTGCACCATGCGCTGGATGCCCAGCAGGATGCTCAGGCGCCGAGACTCCCGGAGGCTACTCAACCGCCGCTCCCGCTGGTTACCACTCTCAGGGCCCTCCTCGGCCTCTTCATCCAGGCCCAGCCCCACCTTCACCATCTTGTGGGTGTGGCCCTTGGTGTTGTAGCAGTTGATGCAAAGGTCGGAGTCCTCGCACCGATAACAGAACCAGCCTGTCTCCACCCGCTGCTTGCACTCAGTGCAGGTGAGGACACAGCGGTCCTGGCCCTGGCTGTGCATCTCCACCGACATCGCTAGGGAACCTAGGAAAGAAGAGCAGAGAGGACAGACTTGTTCAGTCAAATACCTTCAAAACCACAGAAATACATGCAAACTTACCTTCTCAGGGGTCAAGCCACCAGTTACGGTTTTGTTGGGCTATTTGCTACATCGGGCAATGTGCCCCTAAGGAACAACACTGCACCTGGAGGTCCCTGTGTGACCAGAATGAACTACAAAACAGTGGCTCCGTGGGGAGAAGGCACTTGCTGTTCCACAGGCCGCATATGGGAGTTGCCTCCGAAAGTCGGCAGCAGCTACACAGGCCTGCGTGTGAGACACAGGAGGCGGAGGCAGAAAACGGAGGCAGGCGGTGCACAAAGCACAGGGCCCCCATCTCTTCCCACTGAACACTGTGGTGTCGCTACTGAGAAGACCAGCTCCCACCGCCAGAAGAGCTGCACTGCGAGCTCAGGGGATGCACTGAGGCTGAGACCAAACATCAGGGATTCCACCAAACAGCCCCATTCTCAGCATCCAGCAACTTTTACCTCCACGAGTCCACGCAGACCTTCAGCTCCCTACACTCTGTTAGGTCTGATCAAACCACCTCAGCGACACCCCCACCCCCGGGAAACTGTCCCGTAGATCATTTGGCAACTGACCGTCCCTTCCGCTCAGACCACAGTCCCTTCCGCTCAGACCACAGTCCCTTTGCTCAGACCAGTCACTTTCGGTCCCATCCTTGCCCAAGGTCCTGACCGGCCCAGAGAATTTCCCGCAGGAAAAGCCCCTTTAGAGCCCTTTGAACCCTCTGCCTCCCCCGTCCCTGGGTGCCGGCACCATTTCGGGTTCAACCCATCTGTTTTCGAGATGACTTAATAAATTCATAATTTCTTACCACTTTCGGCCTCGTGCTGCTCCTCCTTCGTTCCTTCAGCGACCCTCATAAATTCCTTAAAGCATTTTTTTAAAAAAAGAAAAATTGAACAAAATTATGGCATAACTTCCTGGTTCTTCTTAGCTGCCTAAAGACAAATATCCGGAAGCGCTCCGCCCCCTTCCCGCCTCCGTCCCCTTTGCTGCCTCCGTCCCCTTCGCTCCCTCCGCCCCTTTCCCGCCCTCGCCCCC